CTAAAACTTAAAGAAATTAACAGAAGGGCACCACTAGGCGTAGAGCCTGCAGCTTAATTTAACTTAATATAGGGAAACTTACTAGGTCTAGATAAAATAAGGATTAACAGATTAAGAGCTCTTTCTTAATTTTTTAGGTAGTAGTGCATAGCTATTCTTAGTTAGTAGAGTGATTTATCTGCTTAATTGCGATAACAAACAAGACCTTAACCTGCTAAATAGCTAGGCTAGCTTTAGCTAGTTGCTAGCTTCTTAGAGGGACTATTAGCTTAAGCTAATAGAAGTTTAAGGTAATAACAGGTCTATAATACCCTTAGATATTCTAGGCTGCACGCGCGCTACACTAATAGAGCTAATAAGTTCTTTACCTTAACTAAAAGGTCTAGGTAATCTTATTAAACTCTATTATGCTAGGGATAGAGTATTGTAATTATTGCTCTTTAACAAGGAATACCTAGTAAGCGCGTATTATTAGTATGCGTTAATTACGTCCCTGCCCTTTATACACACTACCTATTGCTACTACTAATTAAATAGCTTAGTAAGGCCTTTAGACTAGCTTAGGGAGGTTAGCAATAACTACCCTAAGCTAGAAAGTTTGTTAAACTTAGTTATTTAGAGGAAGTAAAAGTTATAACAAGGTTTCTATAGGTGAACCTACAGAAGGATTATTACCTATTTTTAAAGCACTGCTACCTTAATTAGTAATAGTAGTCTACTTTAATTCTGCCTATATTTTTTGCGTACTATTTATTTCCTTAGTAGGCTTGCCTACTAATTAGATCCCCTAAAACTACTTATAATTATAGTTAGCATTAGTAATAATATAATAAATTACAACTTTTAATAATAGATCTCTTAGTTCTAGCATTAATAAAGAATGTAGTAAAATGCGATAAGTAGTGTAAATTATAGAATTTAGTAAATTATTAAATCTTTAAACGCACATTGCGCCCCTTAGTATTCTATAGGGCATGCCTATTTAAGCGTTATTTATACCCTTAAGCTCTGCTTAGTGTTAGGTGTTTATTCTACTTAGGACTTGCCTTAAAATAATTAGTAGCTAGTATATTAGCCTAGAGCGCAGCATATTTTGCGCCTCTTATTATAGTTATTAGCATCTATTAAGATACTTTTTAAGCTCTTAACCTTAGATTAGGTAGGGATACCTGCTAAACTTAAGCATATTAATAAGTGGAGGAAAAGAAACTAATAAGGATTGCCCTAGTAATAGCGAGTAAAGCGGTAATAGCTTAAATTTAAAATCTAGCTCTTTTAGGGTCCAAGTTGTAATTTGCAGAGGGCGCTTTAGCGTTAGTAGCAGTCTAAGTTCCTTAGAATAGGATATTATAGAGAGTAAGAATCCTATATATAGTCGCTAGCCTTCGCTATATAAAGCCCCTTTAACAAGTTAAGTTATTTAGGAATATAGCTCTAAATAGGAGGTAAATTTCTTCTAAAGCTAAATACTAGCTAGAGACTAATAGCGTATAAGTAGAGTAATTAAAAGATAAAAAGCACTTTAGAAAGAGAGTTAAATAGCACGTAAAATTGTTAAAAGGGAAGCGCTTACAGCTAGACTTGCCTATAGTTACTTATCTAGGCTTTTATCTAGTGCACTCTTCTACAGGCAGGCTAGTATTAGTTTAGGCGGTTAGATAAAGGTCTCTATTACATACCTCCCTTTAGGGAGGCCTTATAGGGGAGACAACATGCAACTAGCCTAGACTAAGGTCCGCGCATCTACTAGGATGCTAGCATAATGGCTATAAGCGGCCCGTCTTAAAATATAGACTAAGGAGTCTAACATCTATATAAGTGTTTAGGTGTTAAGCCTAGACGCGTAATAAAAGTAAACAGAGGTAGGAACCCTTTTAGGGTGCACTATTAACTAATCCTAATATCTTTAGAAGGATTTAAGTAAGAGCATAGCTATTAGGACCTAAAAGATAGTGAACTATGCTTAAATAGGGTAAAGCTAGAGGAAACTCTAGTAGAGGCTCGCAGCGGTTCTAACGTGCAAATTAATTGTTAAATTTAGGCATAGGGGCGAAAGACTAATCAAACTATCTAGTAGCTAGTTCCTGCTAAAGTTTCCCTTAGGATAGCAGTAACGTATTTAGTTTTATAAGGTAAAGCAAATAATTAGAGGCCTAGGGGTTAAAACAACCTTTACCTATTCTTAAACTTTAAATATATAAGAAGTCCTTGTTACTTAATTAAACGTAGACACTTAAATATACCATTACTAGTAGGCCATTTTTAGTAAGTAGAACTAGTAATACAGGATAAACTAAACGCAGGGTTAAGGTGCTAGAATGCACGCTTATTAGACACTACAAAAGGTGTTAGTTTATCTAGACAGCAGGATAGTAGCTATAGAAGTTAGAATCCGCTAAGGAGTGTGTAATAACTTACCTACTAAATAAACTAGCCCTAAAAATAGATAGCGCTTAAGCGTGTTACCTATACCCCGCCGCTAGGGCAAGATTTAAGCCCTAGCGAGTAGGCAGGTGTGGAGGCTTGTAACAAAGCCTTAGGGGTAACCCTAGGTAGAATAGCCTCTAGTGCAGATCTTAGTAGTAGTAGCAAATACTTAAATAAGAACTTTAAGGACTAAAGTAGGGAAAGGTTCCATATAAATAGCAGTTAGACACAGGTTAGTTAATCCTAAGAGATAGGGTAATTCTGTTTTAATATTAGTGCTTACGCTGCGCCCTTAAAAGGGAAGCTAGTTAATATTCTAGCACCTAGATATAGATTCTCTGTAGTAACGCAACTAAGAGCGGAGACCTTAGCAGGAGCCCTAAGAAGAGTTCTCTTTTCTTCTTAACAGTCTGTTACCCTAAAATTAGTTTGTCTAGAGCTAGGGTTTAATAGCTAGAAGAGCGCTGCACTTTTGCAGCATTTAGTGCGCTCCTAATAAGCCTTAAAAATCTGCTTAAAGAAATAGTTTTTACGCTAGGTTGTACTTATAACCACAGCAGGTCTCTAAGGTAAAAAGCCTCTAGTTAATAGAACAATATAGATAAGGGAAGTTAGCAAAATAGATCTGTAACTTTAGGAAAAGGATTAGCTCTAAGGGTTAGGTACGTTGGGCCTTAGGGAGAAGCCTCTAGCGCAGAAGGGCACTAACCGCAAGGTGGGCGCCTCTTAGCGCTAGGGTGCAGACACCCTTAGCAGGTTTTGGCTGTCTAGCGTACGTTTAACAACTAACTTAGAACTAGTATAGATAAGGGGAATCTAACTATCTAATTAAAACATAGTATTATAATAGCTAGAAAGTAGTGTTAACACAATGTAATTTCTACCTAGTGCTCTAAATATTAAAGCAAAGAGATTTAACCAAGCGCGGGTAAACGGCAGGAGTAACTATAACTCTCTTAAGGTAGCCAAATACCTTATTATCTAATTAGTGACGCGCATAAATAGATTAACAAGATTCCCACTATCCCTATCTACTATCTAGCGAAACTATAGCTAAGGGAACAGGCTTAGCTAAATCAGCGGGGAAAGAAGACCCTATTAAGCTTAACTCTAGTTTAATATTATGAAAAGACATAGGGGGTGTAGAATAGGTAGGAGCTTTGGCGCTAGTAAAATACTACTACCCTTATTGTTTTTTTACTTATTTAATAAAGTAGAGCTAGGCCTTACTACCTAACTTCTAGCGTTTAAGGTCCTTTGTGGGCTAATCTAGGTTAAAGATATTGTTAGGTAGGGAGTTTAGCTAGGGGTAGCATATCTATTAAACTATAACGCAGGTGTCCTAAGGGGGACTCATAGAGAATAGAAATCTCTAGTAGAGTAAAAGGGCAAAAGTCCCCTTAATTTTAATTTTTAGTGTAAATACAAACTATAAAAGTGTAGCCTATTAATCCTTTAGTCCCTTAAAATTTAAGGCTAGAGGTGCTAGAAAAGTTACTATAGGGATAACTAGCTTGTGGCAGCTAAGCGTTTATAGCGACGTTGCTTTTTAATCCTTTAATATTAGCTCTTCCTATTATACTAAAGTAGAATTTAGTAAGCGTTACATTGTTTACCTACTAATAGGGAACGTGAGCTAGGTTTAGACTATTGTAAGACAGGTTAGTTTTACCCTACTAATAACCTTGCCCTAATAGTAATACCGCTTAGTACGAGAGGAACCGCGGTTTTAGATAATTAGTTTTTGTAGCTATCTAACTAGGCATTGCCGCGAAGCTACTATCTGCTAGATTATAGCTAAACGCCTCTAAGTTAGAATCTATGCTAGAACAGGGTGATTTCTACCTGCACTAGTTAGATATAAATAGGCCTTTGGCCTAGAACCTTACTAGATCAGCGTTAGCAGCCCTATTAAAGTTAGGGTTGTTAGCTAGTGTATTGCAATTGTATAGTGCGCAGGATTGAATCCTTTATAGATAACTTAGTTGTCTAGCTAGGTCGTGTAAGTAGTTAAGTAGCCTTATTGTTACGAGCTACTAAGCGTAAGCCCGTTGCTAGCTTAGTTAAAATTAGGATATTATGCCCTCCTTATTTGCAAAACTGCTGCCTAAATAGCTGCTATTAATAGAAGGAAGAGGGCTATAGCAAATAAGTTATATAGTAATTACAAGATAGAGAGGGCTAGAGCTAGGAGCAATCCTCGCAAAATATACAAAAGAACAGGTTATATGTGTACGTACCTTAGGCAGTTAATATATAGCATAGGAAGATTAAGAAAGGATTTAAGATAATCTATACAGATTTTTAGGCGGTGATCTATAACTTAAGAGCGTTCTATAACTTTTTATTTTTTAGGGGTAGTGTTCTATAACTCTAGGGCGTTCTATAACTTTAGGGCGTTCTATAACTTTAGGGCGTTCTATAACTTTTTATTTTTTAGGGGTAGTGTTCTATAACTTTAGGGCGTTCTATAACTTTGTATTTTTTAGAGTAAGAATGCTATAATATGAGGGTGGTCGATAACTTTTACTTGTTTCGACGACGTGGGCAAAGACCTTAGAGAGGGCGAAAAGTTATACATTGAGTGAGGTCGTGATAGAGAGTGTCAGCTTGATATGCAGGCTTTGTTTCGATAAGTACGTTTCAAAGCGACCATACGGCGAAAGGGTTTGGTTGGTGAAACTTGGAGAAGGGAGATCTCATGTGGGTACATGATAAGTCTTTTGGCCGAGGGTAGACCCACCGCAAAACATGTATGAGGAGGTAGTCATTCCTTTGTTTGAGTTGAACATGAATAGATCGGCCAGTTTCTGCGATGAAGAAGAGAGAGGTATTGAAACAAGTGAGAAATGTGGTGTTCATATATGAGAAATAAGGGATGTTTGTAAATATGTTTGCACGTACAGCATGGAAATTCCGCCAGGGAGGCATATCGCCCGAATGATGACAGTGGAATGAGAGCTGGAAAGGGGGGAAGGCGGGTGAATGGCCTACCAGAAAATCCACTGTGGAAGGGGAGCCAA